TTCTAATATATATGTCAAATGGAATTAAAACCATAAAATCCAAATGGATCTTGAGATGCTCTAACAGAAAAATTGTTGGGGCGCCTGGGTGGTTCAGATGGTTAAGCGTCTGCCTTCGGCTCAGGTCATGATCCCAGGGTCCTGGATCGAGTCCCGCATCGGGCTCCCTGCTAGGTGGGGAGCCTGCTTCTCCCTCTGCCTCTGCCTCTCTCTCTCTCTCTCTCTGACTCTCATGAATAAATAAATAAAACATTTTTTTAAAAAATCTCTAAAAAAGAAAAATTGTCTGGAGAATTGCCAGGGGCGCTATGAATCCTGTAAAGAACAATCCATGAACCAGGGAAGACCATTAATGTTCCCAAAGGAAAAAAAAAAATTTGTCAATACAAAAGAAATAGAATTCACGATCCATCATTTGATGGAGGAAGCAGAACCTGAATATGTTTTTACTGTTCTATTTCCAAAACATGCATACTCCTTATTTTCATCTAACTGCCATGATAATAAAATAGCTTTGAGGTGACATTAAAATAAAGGAGAAAAAAAAAAACTGGGACTGCGGGGGGAAAAATCTAGTTTTTATCTTACAACCCCAACTACACCACCAGCAGCCTATTCACAGCCCTTTTGTGAGGACAGAATCCAAGTGAGGAAAGCTGTGTGTGTGGTGGAGCATGCCAGACAGAAAAGCACACTGAGAGCTGAGTCTTTCTCCATGGTGAGAAAAAGCGATATTCGGGATATGGTTAGCTATCAGGAGCTAGGGGAACTGGGTTGAAGACCCTGCATGGGGTGCAGGAGAAGGAGGAGATAAGACGGCTGATAGCGCAGAGGAAATTTTAGAGGCGAACAGAGCTGTCCTTTGACATCTGGGTGGTGATCAGCATAACCCTCCCACCTTCTCTACTCTTCAGTAATCTCTGCAGAACTGATACTTGTCTGTTGAGCGGGTTTCTGTTGGAGGACTGTGACAATGCCCGGGACCGTGGTAAGAGGTAAGAAGGAGGACTCCTCCAAGAAGCCTAGTCACACCTGAGTCATGTTGGGTTGATTTTTTTATTTTTATTTTATTTTTTTTTAAAGATTTTATTTATTTATTTATTTGAGAGAGAGAGAGCAGGAGAGGGGGGAGGGTCTGAGGGAGAAGCAGACTCCCTGACGAGCAGGGAGCCCGATGCGGGACTCGATCCCGGGACTCCAGGATCATGACCTGAGCCGGAGGCAGTCGCTTAACCAACTGAGCCACCCAGGCGCCCCGATTTTTTTATTTTTAGAGACCACTCTAGTACTGGAACACAGGCTCTTCCAATCTGACCTGGCTACTTCCAGGTTTTTAACTCAGTGCCCTGGGTACTGAGATCAGAACAGGAACCCACCAAAAAGGACATTGTTTTGGATTGCACAAGGGCTCATTCTTGGTTCTTCCCACCTCTGTCAAGGGCTGTTCAGGACTGGGGGTCCCACGTGTGAATGACTTCAGGATACCAGTCACACCCACAAATGGGAAGAACTGCTGGGTGTAAGACAATGGGGGACATCAGGCCTGATAGGTAGTAGAGGTTGCAGAGCCTAAAGGCTTTCAAAATCAATACTTAGAGGGAAAAAAAAAAAAGTAGTGACTAAGTAAATGTCTGTGCGCAGGATTCAAGACCCCTATTAGATTTGTCTCAGTGTGACTGCAAAGTGAGATACTCAGGAGCACGTCTGGCCCACGGCCAGTATTCAGGTCTTCGGACAGAACCTCTTCCTAAAGCCCTCTTTGCCTGGAATCCCCATATATCATCTAAAGAAAATTGAAATGTCATAAATTAGCTCCTTTCAAATGATTCTGGTGTACTGAAATGGGATCTCTTTGATAGGTCATCTGTAAACTACACACACAAAATAGTTTTCTCGCAGATCAAACCAGACAGTATTCAGAATGTTTAACTTAAAATAATTATATTCTACTGAAAGTTGTCAGAGGACTGGGGAGGGGTTGGGGCGGAGGAGAGAAAAGAAGATAATTCTGAAGCCCCCCTCCACCCCCACCTCCGCCCATTACAAGTCACCTCTGCACAGTTTACCACTAAATCACTCATCAAAATGGGCCACAGGGGCAATGGCAACCAGCCCTGCTCCCAGGCTCCAGAGCTCCTGATACATAGGAGCTTGCTTACGCTGTAAATTCTGCATATTCTGGTGTTATCGCCAGATACGCAGACAGGCATATTACATGCGAGTTACATGACTTTGGAGCTCTAGAAACAGAATCCTTGATGACTTGAAAACTCCCCACTCTGTCTCCAAGTCAGTCTTTTCTCAGTGAGGTCCCTTGTGCATTCACTATATCTTGTGAAGCTAAAGAGGAAAAAGGAAAGACTCTGGATAGATCCTTACCTGTAGCTGCTGGTCTAATTCTGGAAAGACCAGAGGAATGGCGTCTTCAGGAGGTGTATCATCTAGAACATGAAAATAAAAGGATTCTTCACTATAGAGCTCTTTCTCTCCTGGTAGGCGTCCTGCTCTCACCATCTTTGGATTTATACAATTAAATCATCAGTATATACTGCTTTAATTATTCTCATCACTTCAGGTGGGGACACAGAGAATACAGAAGACAATCTTGTTCATTTTTGGTACAAACAGAAGCCTGGAGAGCATAGCTGGCCTGGCCAAAATTTTGCAAACAAATATCAGAATCCTCAACTGTCCAGTCTGGTAGCTCTATAATTAAGAAGCACAATATTCTCATGGTAGCCAAAACCAGATTCCCTGGCATGCAGGAAAGTGCTTTAACAAGGCGCTAATGAGGTGATCAGAACAACCTCAATGGGACAGAAGAATGTGTTAGTGAAAAATAGAAGCTCTACTCTGAGTGACTCCAATGGGGGCTTTGATGTCCTTACCACAAATCACCACCACCAGGCAGTTACCCAGAGCCTCGTCTGGGTTCTGGTGAGCAACAGGCAGCAACCCAGGCAGGGGGTTCTTCCCTGCACGGCAGGCAGCAGTCCCCACATGAGGCCCCGTGCACTGCCTTGATGTGGGGGAACCTGAGCGAAGACAGCCATGGCCACTCTGTCCCCAAATGCCTTACACTGACTGACAGGCAATAGGCAGGTGTCAATGGATCAGAAGATGTTCTCAGAAGCATCCGAGGAAACCTGAGAGATGTTTGGCCTAAAATACCCAAGTCACCCCCAAATGTCTTCGAGAACATACTGTGACCCAGCCACAGGACTAGAGCACAGCCCCTTGTCAGCAGAACCTCATATGTCCAGGCGGACTCTGGCTCTGCTAGGCCATCCATTCCCATCCCCTCCATGTTGGCAACACCTACCCCGGGACAGATGACTATGAGAATAAGACAAAAGACAAGCTAAAGAATTGTTTAAAAACCAAATCTGTTTTACACTGTAACAAAGAAAGGAAAGTTCGGGCGCCTGGGTGGCTCAGTTGGTTAAGCGACTGCCTTCGGCTCAGGTCATGATCCTGGAGTCCCGGGATCGAGTCCC